GGGGGGATAGGACAGAGGTGAGATACCTGGGCAGATCCTTGAGCCAAACGAGGACTTTGGCTTTTCCTCTGAGTGAGGTGGGAGCCAGGAGAGCAGAGGGACGTGATCAGAGTTAGATATTAAAAGGATCGTGGAAAGTGATAAGAAATACCTTAATAATTACACATAAAATAATTGTCTTGCATTAATATATCAATTACTTTCTTAATTATAAATATACTTCATATTTATTTAAATTTATATTTAAAATATGTATAAATTTATATAACTATAAAACCAATTCTTTATTAAAGTTTATAAATAGGGAATTCCCTGGCGGTCCAGTGGTTAGGACTCCGTGCCTTCACTGATGAGGGCCTGGGTTTGATCCCTGGTTGGGGAACTAAGATCCCGCAAGCCGCACAGTGTGGCTAAATAAATAAATAAATAAAATCATGTAGTAAGTTATGATAAAATTCAGAAAAAGGTTTAACTATGTGCCACGCACTACAGCTTCTTGCATATTAATAATACCTCAATTCTCACGACCACCACCGTATTATTACTCCATTTTCCAGATGAAGAAACTGAGTTACAGAGGGGTTAAGCAGCTTACCTAAGCGGGGAAGAAAGTGGGGAAGCGGTGATCACAACCAAGCAGGCTACCTCCGGGGTCACTTGTCCTTAACCTCCAGCCCTGATTGATCAGCAAACTGGCGAGGGCAAGGGGGGATTCGGGAGCCAGGGAGAAGGTGACTGCAATAGTGTACGACCAGGGTGGCGGCAGGCGAGGTGGTTTGGGACCTGGAAGGGGTCAGAGCTCGTTAAGGGGTGTTTATAACCCTGCCCCCGCCCCCAATTTAACACCGCACCTTCTCTGGCAGGGCTTTCTGGTCAGCGTCCTCTACTGCTTCATCAACAAGGAGGTAGGGAGAGCCCCGGCCCGCCGCCCACGCCCTCTGCCGGCCGCGCAGCGAATGGCGCGGCCCGCGCCGCCTCTGAGCGCTGTCCCGTTGCAGGTGCAGTCGGAGATCCGGCGGGGCTGGCACCGCTGCCGCCTGCGCCACAGACTCGGCGAAGAGCCGTGCCAACCACCCGAGCGCGCCTTCCGGACCCTGCCCTCGGGTTCCGGCCCTGGCCAGGTCGCCGCCGGCCGCGCTCTGTGCTCGAGGACACTCCCAGGTCCTGGGGGTGAGGCCAGCCATGTCTTAGAAAGTTACTGCTAGGCAGCGGGATTCTTGGGTCCATTCAGTTAGCACGTATTTATTGAGCGCTTGCTGTGTACCAGGCCTGGTGTGGAGAGCGCTGGGGAAATGGGGCGGCGCGGGGGCGGGGGGCGGAGGGGAAGGAAACAGAAGACAAGGTCCCTATTCTAGAAATCACAACTGAGTGGGGAAACAGACCGTGAGGATAAACCAAGTTACATATACGCTGTGGAACAGCTTATAAAGAAAAGTTAGAAGGGGGCCTAGTGTGGTCTGGGGCATCTCTGAGGAAGTGACATTTAAGCCCTGCCTGAAAGAGGTGAAGGAGACACCTTTGGAAAGAATTGGCGGCGAGATTCTAGGCAGAAGGAAGCGCATCTGCGAAAGCCCTGGGGCGGGAAGGAGCCTGGCGGTGTCTGAGGAACAGAGAGGAGGCCTGCGTGTCTGGAGTGGGGTGAGTCAGAGCCAACAGATGGAGAGAGAAGTGGGAGGGGGCAAAAGAGTGGGAATTTTATTTCAGGTGCACTGAAGGTTCTTTGGAGTGGCTCCTAATGGAGTGGGCTAAGTTTTTTAAACAGATCTCTCTGTCTGCCCTCTGGGGCAACAGATTATTAGGGGCAAGGGTGGCAGCTGGGAGCCCAGGAAGGAGGCTAATGCAGGTGGGAGGTGATGTTGGCTGGACCAGAGTGGTGGCCACATAGGGTGTGAAACAGTTAGATTCTAGAGCTGTTTTAAAGGTAGAACTGAGAGGATTTGCCGAGGAAGGAGAGAAGCCAGGGAAGACTTCTCGTTTGGGGCTGGAGAGAGGAAAGAGGGAGATGGGGTTCAGGGTGGGGAGAACCAATAGTGCTCTTTGGACATGTTAAGCTGGGAATAAGGGTCTGGAGCTCACAGGAGAGGTCAGAGTGAGAGACACAAATGTGAGTGGCACTGGGGTCCAGAGAGGAGGATTCTGTGTGTAGATATCAACATGGGCAATTCAGGGCAGGTGTCAGAGCTGAAACCTACGTCCAGGAAGGCCAAGACCACTGCTAGCTGGAGAGTGTGAACACACATGCACGCCCTTCTTGGTGGCTCCTGGGAACTAGGGGAATTAGGAGGAAAGCCAGCAGTCTCACTGTGGCTGGACCACCTGTACACATGCAAGACCCTCACTCCTAATTCCCTCCCCGACATAGACACACACTTAGATTCAGTTAGTACCTGGGTGTTGTCCATTCTTTTCCTTGGGGCCCCCAGCTCCCTGGACAGATATGGCCCATAGTCGCTGAACTGAGTTCTTTCAAGCATGTGGTCCTGCTGGGCCCCTCTTGTGGGTTCTGGGAAGGTGGGGGCCCTAGGGCTGGGCCCTTGTAAATAAAGCATGAGAAACAGTTGTTTTTTGTGGGGATGGGGGGTGGGAAAATCTTCTTGGCCAGGCCATAAGGGAAATGACAGAGGCGGGCTGTGTGGCCGGATGCCGGTGGTGGCCTTGCACCCTCTGGAGAGCAGTACTGCTCAACTTCAGCCACGTGTTGCCAAGAGATCTTGGACACCATGCTGCCACCGTCCTTCATGCCTAAGAGAACGTTCCCAGCTGGGAACGTTCATGTGATCTCCTGTTATTTAAACTATATACAATGTGTACGATTAAAAATTGTGTGTGGGGCCTCCCTGGTGGCGCAGTGGTTGAGAGTCCGCCTGCCGATGCAGGGGATACGGGTTCGTGCCCCGGTCTGGGAGGATCCCACGTGCCGCGTAGCGGCTGGGCCTGTGAGCCGCGTAGCGGCTGGGCCTGTGAGCCGTGGCCGCTGAGCTCGCGCGTCCGGCAACGGGAGAGGCCACGACAGTGAGAGGCCCACATATCGCAAAAAAAAAA